CTCTCAAAATGCTCTTCTTGATCCATTAAATACAGATCCAACCTTCTGTTCCAGCCGGAAAAAAACCCTGAACGAACCTAGGATTTGCTTTTGGAAGTTTCAAGTCAAATAATTTTTTATTAGTATTTTTTCTACTTTTGGATTTTTTACTGACTTTTCCTCTTTTTTTGTCTACAGGGAGCTCTCGGAGCTAAGTTCCTCCATGCGAAGAGGACTGTGTTGATTTTTTTTTTATTTTTTTGTTTACAGAAAGCTTTTCCTTTTTTTTTTGGCAGAATTTCCTCCTCCTGTCTTTTTGGTTCGACCAGGAGCTCTATTTATAGAGCTCCAGTCATGCCTTGTGCCTGAGTGAATGGCATAGGACACGGCATAAGGTGCATGCGCGAGCTCTTTACCCTTTTTTATTTCTTCTATCTTATTCGACAGTTAGGAGTACAGATGGGGTGGATAAAGTTTGCAGGGTATAGGTGATCAGAGGGTAGGGTATGTTGGCCAATGGGATGGGTGATCAGAGGGCAAGGTATGGTGGCTAATGGTGCCGGGCAAGGCACCACTGCCATCATCCCCTATTTTTTTTTTTTTTGTATTTTGTATTTTTATATTTTTTTGATATTTTGTATTTTTATATTTTATATTTTTTAATTTAATAAAACAAAAAAAATAAAAAACAAGTTGGGCTTAAACAACAAAATGAGCTTTGGGCCCAATTGAATTGAAATCGGGTCTAAAGTCCAATTAAATTGAAATCAAGCTTGAAGTCCAATTGAATTGAAATTGAGTATCAACCCAATAACTCGAAAATTATTAATTAAAATTTGGATAAATTTGATGTCTACATGAACATTTTTATTTTTCTCGCAATTTGTAAGTTAGATTTATATTAGAAAACAAAAAAATTAAAACAAAGTAAACAAGTCCCATAGCAAAGCGTGCGTAAGGTATTAGTAATGATATTAATTTTACTAATGTACTGTGATAAGTACATTTCTCTTAAGATACAACGTGGCAGCTTCATGTTATTTCTTTTTTAAGATTTTCTTTTAAAATAATTAAGCAATATTTTTTAAATTACTATTGCCTTTTTCTTTTTAAAAACAATAATTTTTTAAATTATAAAAAATATATATTTATAAAGATTGTATTTTTTATGTGTGGGATCCATTTATATCAATTTTTTTTGTTTTTCCTATTTTACCTCTTTTTTATTTTTTAAATAAAAAAGGTAATTAAGATTTTTTTATTCTTTTAGAACACACTTGAATTATTTACAGTTTACAATCCTATTTCCTTTCTATTACGCATCATTTTTTTAGTTTTACTTTTTTTAGTTTTTTCTTTACTATTCTTTAAATTTATTTAATAAAAACTTTTAAAATTATAAAATTATATCATTTTAAAAAAAATTTTATGTTTGAAACTTACTTATATAATTTTTTTTCATTTTTTTCTAACTTTTTTACTAAATCCACTGAGTATTAAAATTTAACATCGATACAATAATTTGAAATTAATTCGAAATGATCATAATTTTCTTTTAATTACTTGAAAATTAAATTGCATATATCTAAATTGATTATAATGCCCATCTTTCTATGATTAACTAAAATTATTATAATTCTTCTCTTAATATAATTACTAAAATACCTTTCTTAATATAATTAGAAGTTACTATATTCAGCTACAACCATAATTACGAAAATATCCTTCTACCATCATTGGCTAAAATTATTATAATATTTTTTTACCATAATTACAAAAATACACTAGATATTATAATTATCCAAAATTATTATAATACCATCTAACTATAATTACAAAAATACATCTTATCGTAATTATAAAAATACCCCTCATATTATATTCATTAAAATTACTATATTACACTCTAATCATGAACACAAAAGACCCTTTTCATTGCTTCATATAATGCCTTTCCAACTATAATTACAAAAATGCCCCTTATATTATGATTTGTCAAAATTATTAATACCCTCTAAGCATAATTACAAAAATATCTTTATGATTGTTTTATAATTATGCATGAAATTTTAACATCTATACCATAATATGAAATTAATCTCTTTAGAAATTATTATACTATCTTTTTAATTATTTGATAATTGAATTTCATGTATCTTACTTTACTTTTATGCCTTTCCTTCTATTATTATCTGAAATTATTATAATGCCTTCGATTAGCTTAATTATTGAACTACTTTTTTTACTATAAATGGCTAAAGTTATTATAATGGTCCAACACCTATAATTACAAAAATACCCTCCTACCATTATTGTTGAAATTACTATAATGCCCCTCTTACCATAATTATGAAAATATCCCCCATATTATAATTTGCTAAAATTGCTATAACACCTTTTAATCATAATTACAAAAATACCCTCTTACCATAATTAAGAAAATGCCTATATTATTATAATTGGCTAAAATTGCTAAAATTGCTATAACACCTTTTAATCATAATTACGAAAATACCTTCTTACCATAATTAAGAAAATGCCTATATTATTATAATTGGCTAAAATTGCTATAATACCCTCTAACCATTATTAAAAAAAAATTCCCTATTTAATCGTTTCATATAATGCCTCTGTTATCATAATTACAAAAATACTCTTTATATTATAATTATTTAAAATTACTATAATACTTTCTCAACTTAATTACAAAAATACCATTTTGATTGCTTTATAATTACGTATTAAATTTTAACATCTATACAATAATATGAAATTACTTGATAATAATTACTTGATAATTGAATTACATGCATCCAAACCTATTTTAATACCCATATTTCTATAATTAACTCAAATTACTGTAATACTCATTTTAACATAACTATTGAAATACCCCTATTACCAAATTGACCAAAGGTCCTATAATGCTCCTATAACCATAATTATGAAAATACTCTTATACCATCATTTGCCATAATTACTATAATAACCCTTTTTAACATAATTATGAAAATACCCCTCATATTATAATTTGCTAAAATAACTATAATACTCTAAAGTCATAATTATGAAAATGCCTTTTTATCATAATTACACAAATAACATGTATATTATGATTAGCTAAAATTATTATAATACCCTCTAATTATAACTACAAAAAAGAAAAAAACACTTTTGATTACTTTATATAATATCTCTCCTATCATAATTATGAAAATATCTCTCATATTATAATTGATCAAAATTACTATAATACACTCTAAGTATAATTGCAAAAATATTTTTTTGATAGCCTCATAATTACATATTAAATTTTAACATCCATACAATAATATAAATTTAATATACTTAGAAATAACCATAATACTCTTTTAATTATTTTACAATTGAATTAAATGCATCTAAATTAATTGTAAAGCTCATATTTCTATGATTATCTAAAATTACTATAATAACCATCTTAACATATTAACTAAAATACCCCTCTTCTCATAATTGACCAAAGTTAATATTATGCCCTTACAATCATAATTACAAAAATATCATCCCACCATCATCTGCCGAAATTATTGTAATTTTTCTTGCACCATAATTATGAAAATACTCTTATATTATAATTTACCAAAATTACTATAACACCTTTAATTATAATTACTAAAATATCCTCCAACCATAATAACGAAAATACCTTCTTATTATTATAATTGACTAAAATTACTATAATAGTCTCTAATCATAAATATAAAAATACCTTTTTTATTGATTCATATAATACCTTTCATGTTATAATTACAAAAGTACCCCTCATATTATAATTGACCAAAATTACTATAATACTTTTTAAGCATAATGATGAAAATACCTTTTTAATTACTTCATAATTACATATTAAATTTTAATATCCATACACTAATATGAAATTAATCTCTTTATAAATAATCATAATGCCTTTTTAATTATTTGACGATTAAATTATATACATCCAAATTGACTGTAATGCCTATTTTTCTATGATAAATAAAATTACTATAATGTCTCTCTCAACATGTTTGCTAAAATACCACATTTTATCATGATTGGCCAAAGTTAATATAATATTCGTATAACCATAATTACAAAAATGTCTTCCTACCATTTTTTGTCAAAATTATTATAATGCCCATTCTATTATAATTATGAAAATACCTTCATATTATAAGTGATCAAAATTACTATAATACTCACTTACCATAATTACAAAAATATTTTTTTTATTACTTTATAATTTCATGTTAATTTTAACATCCATACAATTATATGAAAATAATTCCCTTAGAAATAATCATAATATCTTTCTAATTATTTGACAGTTAAATGATAGGCATCTAAATTGATTGTAATGCTCTTCCTTTTATAATTAACTAAAATTGTTATAATATCGTTTTTATTATAATTACTAAAATACATCTTTTATCATAATTATCCAAAAATAATATATATTATATTAATAAATTAATTATTTTATACCTTAATTGAAGAAATTAATATTTTTAGTTTAATGAAAGTGTTTGTATGACATCTTTTATGAGTTTTTTTTTTTAATTTCTTTGTTTTTTCCTTTAATTTTTTTGGTTTTTTTTTATCTTTTCACTTATTTTATTTTTTAAAATTATATAATTTGTGTGAAAAAAAGAAGTCCAATCCAAATAATCACATCTTATCATCATTTGTTTTTTTTTTTTTTGGTTATCTTTCGCCTTTTTACTTTTGGATTAACTGAATTTTGCAACAAATCAATTAAGTACATATAACAAAATAAAAGCCCCGATAATGTACGGTATTTCACTAATAAATAAACATATTAAAATTTATTTTGACAAATATTTGGTGACGTCAATCTTGTAGTTTGACTATTTTTTTTTTTTTTCAAAATTAAATTGAATCAGACGGAAAAAAACAAAGAAGCGAACTTTCTTTTCTTCCCAAATAAAATAAATTGAAAAGAACGGCCTTTTTTTTTTTTTTTTTTTAAGTTTTCCCCAAGTTTGTTAATTCTGTGACAGATCTGGGACCCTGCAATTTGGCTTCAAAGAGAGAAAACTTGGTGAAAAATTCCAAATTTGTGAGTTTTTCATTTCTGGGTTGCAAATTAAAAACTGAAAAAAGGACGTTGATTGCAATTAATGGAGGATTCGAGTAACACTGATGGAGGAGAGACACGAAATCAGACAATACCTTCCACTTCTTCAACAATAACCTCCGATGGTTACCGTTTGTTTGGTCGTCAAGGTTCACTTCACCAGTTTTTGCGTGGTGGTAAAGGCAAGAAAATTAAAACAAGAAAGACCCATCTTTTATTTTCTTTTCCATTTTTGTTCTCTCGTGTTTGATCTTGTTTTTCAATGTAATCAACTTATCTTTGGGTGCTTTGATATAAATATTGCTTGGCAAAAGATTTGGTTGCTGCCCTTTAGAAATTGGAACGAAATGTCAGACAAATAGGAGAATAATGAGAACTAAATTTTGTGAACAAGAAGTCATTATTTATAGCAGTTACTCATTTGTTCATAGGGAAAACGATATGCAACTCTTACAATCTGAGATACATGTTTTTTGTTTTCTACTACTGTAGAGAGAGAGATGCAGTTGTTCTTTTATTTTGTTTAGCTGTCTATGACTTGCTTGCACAAATTTTTTGCTCCGACCTGTTTCTTTTTTCACATATTGGTGTGGTAATACCGTTTTTCGATGGACAGGACTCCCTGGAATATCCTTTCTTTTGAAGGGTCTCTGAGTTTCCTGGTGGATAAGAAACGATGCTGATGATCTTTACCTCTTTGCTCTAAAATTTGGATGTAACATAAAATAGAAACTGAATCCTTTGCTGAGTTTTCCCTGTTGGGATACTATCCTTGGAAGCCAACTTTTCTTTTTGATCTGTGCTCGTTCAGTATTTATCTTTGATCTTTATTGGGGTTCTAACTTTTTTATTAAAGTTAGCCTAATGTTGGGGTAATTCTGTTGTTGAGTATGATATCATTGCTGTAACATCACCTTGTCACTCTGACTCATTATCTTTGTCACCCTTATAATAGTAGTGCATTTGTTCTGTGTGATAAATTAACTAATTTTTTTTTTTCATTTCATAGGGGCTGATATTCTCTCATGGAAGCAGCAGCATGTTTCTTTTGGTGTCATTGTTGTTGCTACTGTTGCTTGGTTCATATTTGAGTGGTCTGGCTTACCATTCTTATCCATTTGTTCAAATGTCTTGCTGATATTAATTGTATTGTTGTTTGTTAATGCCAACTATGCTGCTTATAGAATCAGGTATGACTAATACTACCTCTATATTTGTTGATTTCTGTTTAATACTGAAGCTGTTTTTGACAATGTTGTCTATTTTATTATTTAAGCAGACAACTACAAACATTACCCGAACTTGTATTGTCAGAAGAACTGGTTAATAATGCTGCAGCGTCATTTCGTGTTAAAATCAATAGTGTGCTTCTTATGGCTCGTGATAGAACTCTTGGCAAGGATTTTCGAGTTTTTTTCAAGGTCAGTTTAGATCTGTTGTATTGCAAGTATTCTGTGCTGCTTGACAATCTGCTCTTCCAGCAACCACTCTTCTGTTCATTCTTACCTATCCTGTTTATTTCCCAGATTTTGCTTCATTAGTTTGCTTCAGGTCTCTATTTTCTTCATGCCCTATGGAACTTCATGCTGTTTGTATAGGTTCCTGGGTTCGACCCCACTTTTGCAATCTCACTAAACCTGTTCCACTCTACCCACTTTTCTGTCCTTATTTATTTGTTTGTTGGGGAGGGGGTGGGGAAAGCTGGTGCTTGATAATGTTTCTTACTTGTAGTTCATTTGGCAGGTTGTGATTTGTCTATGGCTTTTGTCTGCCATTGGTAGCTATTGCTCTTTCTTCACACTTGCCTATATTGGTAAGTTCATCGTCAACTGAATGTTCATTCATTCTTCTTTTTGATTTGTGGATATAATTACTATATATATTTTGGTTTGACTGATATAACATTAAATGTAACTAAATTAACTTAGTTGTTTAATCATGACCTCTCTTGGTTTATTTCTACTAAACAACCATGAATTTATGTTGTTAAAAATTCAAAAACCTGATATCAAGCTCCTGTCACAAACTTTCTAGCTTGCTTGACCTCATGGGATCTTTTGCATATCTGTGCCTGTTTTTACAAATCAATACTGAAATGGGAGGCATTTGTTCAATGAACTTTCTGTCTTTATATGTATAAGGAATCTTAAATGATGTACTTATTTACATACAATGTATTTGTCATTTGCTGATGACAGGAGCCATTTTATCTATTACTCTTCCTGCCTTCTACAGCAAATATGAAGAACATGTGGATAAATGCTGTGGAATTATCCACCGAAAATTTTCCCAAAACTATAAGATAGTTGATGACAGTGTGATTAACAGAATCCCCCAGTTTTTATCCAAAGATAAAGACGTCTAAGTCACACAGATTACATAGAGGTTACAACTGAAAATGCTGGCTCTTTAGCTTTCAGTGACTGATACAAACACGCTAATGTTTTGCTTCACTTTAAATGAAAGAGGATTTTTATCTGTTATGTTATCTACATGTTTCACTATCAATTGAGCTGCAACTGTCTGCCAAGTGCTTCTTCATATTAGAGTGAAAAGAAAAAGAAGGTTCAGGGGTTTCTACTGATCTGCTATTCCAAGATTCTGCCAGACTCATTTCTTGTTATTGATTCTTGAAAGAGCCTTTATGGTCTGTGTGGAGCTACTACTTTTGTTGGGTATGTAGAATTAGTAAATGGTAGGGGAGTTGAGCCGATTGTCATTAAAAGTTTAAGGTAATGAGACACCAACTTTATGTGTTCCCTCAGAAGAGCATAGCACATCGGTTTATTTTGGGATCTATTTTTACTAAATAAATTTGAAAGGGCATAGCTATCGTTTCTTGTTTTATATCTTTCAGTTTCCTTGGTGGGTTTTGGATCGATGCAACGATTTGGAAATCCTGAAATCTCTTATGACTTGTAAAAACCTTGTCAATGTAGGCTGGATGGTTTGTCTCCTCAACTCCTTCTGTTGCTTAATGTCTATTCCTCAAGAAATGAAGCCCCAGACATTAGTCAAAACGATGAGGAAAATCAATGAAACCAGAATTTAGTGCATTTTTACCGTCACATTTTTCTGTTCACAGTTTTTCAATCCAAAAGCAAGGAGAAAGGAGGGAACTATACGTTGAGAACAACCATCAATACCATCTATAAAACAGGTACACCAACATCACCATTTATTCTGTCTACAATGAAGCATAGATGCCTCTAATTCATCTAAAGTTATGCACCCTCACAAACCAAATGAAAGCAATTCACTCGTAGTTGCATTCATGCCTCCAAGTCAATGGAGATATATACATCTCAAGTTCTGCAAGTTCAAGGTTCAGGTAGGGCACCTTCATTGTAGCTGCTGTCTTCCACTAAGCCTGGAGTATGAAGGAACTCCTGTGCCTTGTTCAACCAAACGTCGTAGATTTGATCCGAGAACAGAACAAAATGCACCTGCAACCAGCATTTAAAGTGAGTGTCAACAAATTTTTTAATTAAACTTTTACCGACAAGTTTAAATCAGATGGTAAGCCAACTTGAAGCTTTTCTGTCATCTGGACAATAATATACGGTTATAGATCTAAGATCATGCAAAAGCCTTCAAAGTTTCAATCATCATAGAAAGTAATGCTTTCATTATATTACATATATGTGAGAAAAAAATATAGGAAGATCTAATTGGTAAGGGAGACCACATGTTTCTTTGAGCTAATCCTAGTGAAATTATCTTAAAATAAAAGTAAAAAGAAAAATGTAAAATGGGATTTAAACTAGTGAAATGGTGGAATCAATCAACAATCCTGGACTGCAAGTTTATGAAGCCCAGTAAAAACAAACATTACCTCTCTAATATCATCTGCAAATTCTTTGACAGTAGATATAGCGATTGTAGCAGCTTCTTCAAAAGGATATCTGGAAAATTTTCAGAAAGGAAAAAAGAAATTAAATACCAGCTGCTCACACTTTTTCTACAAACACTGAACGTACAAAATCCGTAGTCATACAAGGTTTCATTATTTAGTGAAATCAGAATTTTGCAGAAGACTAGAATGTTTCTCCATATATGCCACAAGAAATGGCATTTCTTACCCATATACACCACAAGAAATGGCAGTAAAAGCAATGTATTTAATATTGTTCTCTTTAGCCACAATCAAGCAGTTCCTGCAACCAATTTAGGAAGAAAACAAGTTTTATTAATTAGAATGATGAACAAATTAGCAATTAATTATTAATGGTCGTGATAAAAATCATAATTGATAGCATATAGATACTTGTATGCACTTGTCAAGGAGGCTTTGGGGTCTTCATCAGAATCATAAATAGGACCAACAGTGTGAATCACACGAGATGCAGGCAGTTTAAAACCTCTGCAAAATACATCAACATGTTTAAGGTTAAGATGAAAGAAGTAATAATGTAGTAAGCTATACATATTTAATTAGGAAAAGATCAATCATTTACGGGGTAATCCTTGCTTCTCCTATGGGACAGCGTACATCAGGTCGAACTTCTGGGACTTTATAGCATGCTTCAACGAGTTCTGGTCCAGCAGCCCTATGTATGGCTATTATATATCAATGCATCAATATTGGTCCTTGAAGGGTTCTTTGATAAGCAAAATTCGTAGTAGGAAGGACAAGAAAATATATACACACCTCCATCTGCGCCACCACCTCCAAGCATTTTCTCATTTGCTGGATTCACCTGTAAAAGCTTATATATCCTTACTGTGCTCAATGAATAAAGTGTATGTGTATGTGCAGAATAATCCCAAGAAGGAAACATGATCAATCCTCAATGCAGAAAAGGAGTTCAGGTTCATTTGGATATGCGATGTAATTGAAAACAACGATGAAAGTAAAATAAATTATTGTAGTGAGAGATTAGTTGCTGGAATAGTAAGATTAAAATCTAATAAAATGTGTTTAGATGAAAAACAGTTATATTGATAAAATGAATCGTAATAAGAAAAATAATTATTAAAAATATTATATTAAAAAGTATATAATGAAAATTTTAAATTATTTAATATTTATAAAAATAATAAATAATTAAAAATAATAAATTATTTTTATATTAAATAATAATTTATTAATAAATAATTAAAAATTAATGAAATTATAATAATATATCAAATAATATTTTTATTATTTATGTTAATATCTATTTTTAATTAACTCATATAAATTATATAATAATAAAATTTATTTATTTGTTTGTTCATAATATAATAATAAAATTTATTTGAAAAGGAACGGATGCAGAGAAAAGGAAAAAAGAAACAGATGCTAAGGTTTTAGTAAATAACAATTCAATTAAGAGCATAATGGAAATACAAAAATTTCGATGGGGATAAGAAGGTCCAATTGAAGCATTGGTGGTCCACTGGATCATATTTATCCAGTTCACCGCTGGAATTTCAGTGCGGGTGAGAAAGCCAACCGCACCACAAATCATGTTATGCAAACATGATTATGGTGCCGATTGAGCCTATAAGTTGCCCAAATCACTCACCCCTAACTGGAGGTCCGGTTAATTCCAAATGGCCTCTTCATTTTCTTCTTGTTTTTGTGACTTACTTTTTGCTATTTCTTTAATTAATTGGGACAAAATTTTAAACATTTTTGTATCATTTAAGGATCTCAGTGAATCATTTACCCTTTAAAAAAAATTGATTTTGAATCAAATTTCTTTTATTTTTTTTATTAAAATTTTATCTTTTTGATGTAATTGAAAAAAAAAAAAACTATCTCCCAAATATAGATTTGCCCTTAAATTATACTTGTGGAAGATAAAGATTTTTAGTATTTCACCAAAAAAAAAAAAAACAGCTAATCCCTCGTTAAAGATCCATTCTTGTTTTTATTCAAACGGAATACTTCAATTTTTTTTGAATATTTAATTCAAATAATGGATATATGTATTCATACGCTTAAAGAATTTGATTCATATTTTTTAAATACAAAAATAATTAAATGAAAAGAGAAAATTGAGAAACACTGACAATAGCGTCGGAAGAGCCGTCAACGAACCACTGAGTGATGTCACCTTTCTGGATCTTAAGCTCGGTGGTTTCAGATAACTTGAAAATACCACCTTCTCCCCCAGTTGCTGACGCCATCCTCAAAAATCCAACAACGTCGAAAGCGAGTTTAAAGATGTTTCGGAGCGTACGATGATTGGTTGTTGAGATTTTGTAACAACTGAGTTTTGGGTTAGCCGAGGAAACACTGACAACCTTTGAAAAAGTAGAAGCAGGAATTGCCGGAGTGGTGAATTGTTGCCCTATTAGAAACCTGACTCCTCTATCTCTAATAAAGAGAGCAGAATTTCTTGACATCTGTTATTGGTTTGTTTGAGACGAATTCTTGGACGGTACATTTATCATAGAACAAAAATATCATAAACAGTTGTAATACAGAGAAACATTTTTTATGATGTTGACACTTTTGGATTTGCACATGTAAGATTGTTATTGGTCACCAAAACTCGTAACCCAAACAAAGTTTTGCTTTTTAGGATTGCTGCCCATCAAGAATGGAATTGGACAAAACTTAAGCCTGATAGCAATATTGGGCTGGGCACAGGTTTCAGACAATGTCCAGTAGCCCGACAGTGAGGAAGAGGTTGAAATGAGTTATAGAAATGTATATGGCCATGGGTAATTACATGTTAGAGGAGTCATTTTGATTGAAAATCGGCCTTTTCACTTTCATAGAATTAATCCACATTTCCTTGGAATATTGCAAAAGTAAAGTAATTTGCAATATATGTAGTAGAAAAATTTTATGACAAAAATCCTTGGAATATTTCATAACAATTGTTTATCAAGTGAAGTTTAAGTGAAACTCATCTAATTAAGAAAAACTTGTAAGATAATTATGTACTCAAAGCATGTTTTTCTAAAAAAATAATTGGCCATTCACAAGGTTAGGAGCTAGTTGTAGAGAGAAAGTAATAATGAAATGGTCGGCTTATTTAATAAAAATTAATAATAAATATTTGAATTACAATTCATTAATACATTGACTGATTTTATTGATGTAAACAAACACGCAAGTCATAAATATATAGAAGAAAGAAACATTTTATAAGAACTAGGTTTCAAGTCTGTGTTTTATTGTGGGAATAACACAAATATTTGTATTAATCTAAATATTATATAATATAAAGTAGAAACATAAGTGTGAAAAGAAATTGCAGATACAAAAAAGATTTGATAGTTAAATTAAATATCTTATATAAATATATAAAAGTTAAAAATTTTGACAAAAAAGAAAATTATCAAACATGGATAGCCTATATAATAGACATATGGATAATTTTAAAAAATTGTCATGTATCTTCTAATAAATTAATTACATTTATGTTTTATTCACTTTCAATTAAATTGATATTAAAGGTAATAAAACTTTAATTGCCATAATCATATATTAATTTTGTCACCTTCTTTTTTAATTGTAAATATTCAACTCTTAAATTACATTTGTGTAAAAAAAAATTCAGTTGCCAATTTTTTAACCTATGACTTATTAATTTACTCCACCATTTAAGATATGTTATATATACATACACACACGTTTAATATGTATATATATTATTTTAAAATAATTAATAGATGATTAAATTAATTAAAATTAATTTTAGTATATATAATATAAAATGAATTTCATTACCTTTATTACACTAATTTCAAAATTTTTTCTTTTCCATTTCTCCCGAACAAATTATTACACATTATGTTTGATTATTATAATTGTCAAGCATAAATTACTCTTAATTTAAAATACTATTATTAATCTTGATTTGGTTTTTGAATTCAAATTAATAAATTAGTCATTCAAAAATTACAAATCATTCCATTATTATTAATAAGGCGGTAAGATCTATCCTATAAGTAAGGGTGTTTTGAGATGCTTAAGAAATAGATTTTATCATTGCAATATTTTTTCTCATTATCTTGATATTCCTTTTGCCATGTAGTAAAAATAGCCTGGTTTTTTTTTTCTTTATAATTTATATGCAAGTGGATTAGATGCACAATTCTTTATGATGTTATATATGCTGGTGGATTAAATGCACAAAATTTAATATAATCAATTACTTTTTAAATTTTTTTATTATTTTATTTTGGTTTTGTATTATTTAGTTACTATTTTATTTTTTTTTATGTTGACTGAAGCTCTTTAAAATTCATATAATAAGTTATTTTTTGAAAAAAAAATCATTTTGAAAATACATTCCCTCTAAAACAATTTGCTTGGGTTCCAAGAAAATTAAGCAAAATTTCTTGAAAAATTAATGATTTGGATTATTATTTTTCTTTTTATGTTTTGGCTATTGCTATTAATTCTATTGTAGTTTAAATTATAAATATATTTGTACTTATTATTTTATACTTTTTTGTAAGTTTTTGTTATGATATTGATTTGTATACCGAATTTCCATTATTTTTTTCTTTTGGATCATGAAACAAGAGAGCAAGCTAGGTGGTAGATTAAAAAAAAGTGATTGCCTATCACATATCCTATCATATGTATTAATGTCATGTTTGGTACACAAGATTATGATAGGATATGATAAGATAATATTATGAATAGGATGAGACTAAATAATGTCATTATATTTTGTGTTTGATGTATGCAAATATTATGATAGGGTAATTTATTTATTTATCAAAATTATCCTTCCACAAAATTTATACACTTAAAATTATTGATGTAATTTTTAAAGGTATAATTGGACATTTTAGTTTAATCTCATTCATTAAAAATAATCCTCTTCACTTGAAAAAGATTGAATAATCTTATGTCAAGAGGATATTAATCCTCCTTGCAATCCTTATATCTCTCTTTAGATACAAATCAAACATGATATGGGATGATTATCGTCCTATCCTATCAATAATCTTATGCATTAAATATAACCTAAGTATTTTTTTTTATTTTTTTGTGTTAAATGATTTTTATTTAAGATAAGATTTTTTTTTACGTTTTAGTTGTTAGATATGTTTGTTGCTTTGATATTATCATTTTCATGATTTACCATAAAGTGGAGCTAATTACTATCCAAGCGAAAATGAAAATTGTTAAACGTAGCTTTTGATTGATTCTATTTTTTATTTACTATAAAATAGAGCTAATTATGTCCAAGTGTACACAAATTTTTTATGACTATATTATAAGTAACAATACTTGGCTTCATCCCCAATACAATGCAAAAAAGGCTTTCTTAAAGCTACAAGTGAAGTGTACATTGTTATGAGAAGAAAAAATTTTGCTTTGATGAAAAGTTCAAAAAATTTGAACCTAAGAAGCTTATTGATAAAGGGAAAAGCTTATTGATAGCATAATAATTGCTAAGAGTTTTAACACTAATAACCCAATTAAAAGGAATTCAATAATTATCAATGAAGAACAATAGAAGATGTAATACTCTGAGGACAAAATCTATATCAAAACCCAAACAACAATTCCACCAATTCACAACCCACATATTCAAATTTCAGTCACAAAAAAAAAAAATTCATGTATGAAAGCTGACATCCATCCACGACAAATAAAAAGTGAAAAGTCAAATTCAAATATCCAACTTTTTTTTAGTTAATTTTTTTCGAACACTAAAAAAATAAATGGAAAAACCAAAACAATAGAAACCTAAAATACCAAAAAAAAAAAATCAAATCACACTCATACAACCTACAGCTTCTCGTAATTTTTTTCCAAATTTACGCCATTAAATTCATGCACGCAAACCAAACAAAAAGTCAAAATCTCATTTAAAAATCAAAACAAACCCAAACAAATGAAGATGAAGTCCTGGAAATTAGATGAAACAAACCTGCTTAAAACATAATAAAACAATTCAATCGCCTTAAATGCTATGGATTGGGGAAAACCTTCCAAACACCATATAAAAAAGACATTCATAATCCACAAAAAAAAAAAAACCATGCATGAAAGAAAAAATAGATAAAGATAAAAGTAATACCTAGAGAAATCTCTATCAACACATATAAAGAAAAAAACCTTTAACAACACATGTAAAGAAGCCAATGCATAAAAACAGAGACAACAAATAGCAAAAACCAAGTCTTGCACGTCTAGAAGAGCTGAACAACCTAACCTAAAAATTAAGCTCCTTGAAAAAAAGAATAAACAAAAACTCATCTGATAAAAGAAAAAGAAAACATATCGACTTTCATAAAAAAAACCAAAAGCTAACCTGAAGAGAGGAAAAAAAATAATGTAGACAAAAAAGGGTTAAATATAAAAATAACCCCTAAACTATACACTTTTTGTAAGTTTAGTACTTAAAAAAATAAAATTATTAGTTTGGTACTCTAATTTTCATTTCATCATCCAATTTGGTACCTTAGACTGATGCTATCAGTCAACTTGATGACATGGAATTGCCATCCAATGAGATGTTGACATATGTCAAAATATCCAATTAGCATCATGTCATTAATTACCTCATCAGTATTAAAAATTTTTTTTAAAAATTTTTAAAATTTTAAAAATCTAAATATTTAAAAAATATAAAAAATTAATAACTAAAATATTTAAAAAATTAAAAATCTTAAAAAATTATTAAAAATTTAAAAATTCAAAAAAAATTTCAAAATTTTAATAAAAATAAAATTTTCTTCAAATTAAAAAAAATTCGTAAGAACTTTAAAAAATTAAAAATAAAAAAATCTATTTTATTTGAAAAAATCTAAAAATTTAAAAAAATGCAAAAAGTTTTTTAAAATTATGAAAAATTTTCATTTTTAATCTTATGATTTTAACATTTATATATTTTATGGTTTTTTTTATATTTTGGTTTTTTATTAAATTTTAAATTTTTGAGAAATTTTTTTATAAATTTCCATTTTTTAAAAAAAATTTATTTTGAAAATTTTAACAATTTTCAAAAAATTTTAAATTTTGCTATTTTCAAATTTTAAAATTTTTTGTGAATCTTTTTCTAATTTTAAGAAAAATATTTTTTTATACAATTTTTTTTTTATTTTTTGAATTTTAAACAATTTTTTAAGAATTTTCAAAATTTTTTATCTATGCTAACATAGTAATTGATGATGCGATGCTTACCGGATATTTTGACATGGGTCAATAGATCATTGGATGGTAATGCTATGTTAGCAAGAGGACTAACGATGTTTATCCAAAATATCAATATGATAATGGGATAAAAATTTAAATACCAAACAGATAATTTTATTTTTTTATGCATCAAATTGACAGAAAGTATATAATTATGAGGTCATTTTTATATTTAACTCAAAAAAGAATGTCAAAGAATGAAGAAATAAAATCAGAAATGAGCATAAAAAAGACAATTAAGTTGTCAAATATAACCATTTTTTCCTAAA